GCAGGGGCGGGGGGGGGCGGGATTCATCACTGACCGAGTTGGGGGGTGTGGCTCCTCAGCTAAACTGACAAATTGAGTGTAAAATGCTGGATATTCAGTTGGTTACTGCTGCTGGCTCTGTATTTCCCTAACCGGGAGTGACCTGCCATTGTTGGGGGGCACAGCTCTGCCGGAATTAACAGAGGTTTCCTGAGTTTTCTGCGACTGCGTCCTGCTAGGCTTTCTTGAGTGGGGAAGGCGTCCAATTCCCTGCCTAGAGAGTGCCTATACAGCACTGTGACATGTCCAATATTTGCCTTGACTCTCATATACTTTGATTTGTTGTTTGCGCTTTGCATAACCTCAATAAAACATTGATTGACAAAAAAATATATAATAAAATAGGCACATAATTTTTGTACCCATTTATACACCAGTAGAAATAATTCAGATATGAACTGGTACTATATTGTTATGGTGCTGAAACAATGGGGTTGATTTATTATACAGGTTTGGCATTACTTCTAGTGATGTTGCATTTTAAGCCAATATACTGTTTACTAACTCGTGTAAATCAGCAGCCCTGTACAAACAAATTTACTGGCGGGAGAAAAACTATGCTTTAAGAAACCATGATGCCCACGTCAAGGAGCACGCTGCAGAGTTTATGGTGCCAATACAGTGTAACTAGTCTAACCATTTTAGAACGTTTTGACTTCTTACCTAGAGTTACCCGAACACGGCTCCCTACCTGCACTACTCTTCCTTTGGAGCTCTCCTGAGCTAAGCACTGCAGTGCAGGGCTATCTCATTGGCAGTGTGAGCTAAATGCTCTCAGCTAATGATCTAAGCCCTGCAATGCCAGGCTTAAGTCAGACAGACATTTGCAGGCTCTTTATTGTAAACAGTGGAGGCGGGAGCTGTGCACAACAGACCCCAGGTAAGAAGTAAAACTTTTGTAAAATGATCTGACTATTTACAATGATGGAATGGTGGGGCTCCAGGGCAGTCCTGGGACCATAAACACTACATTGTGCTGTAGAGGTTATTTTGCTTTCAGTACACAGGACTGTAGCCTTTTTTTAAATGGGGGGTTAAAATGTGTGCACAGTTTTTGAATTTGAGCTTCTGATCAAATACCCACCGAAAAAAACAGAATCTAACATGCTTAGAGCCAATGAATAATAGGTCAAGTTTAATCCAAAATCCAACGTACCCTACAATTTATTTGACGTTGAAAGCATACCTTGCCTCCACTCAGCTCTGCAATGTATCAATATCTTTAGAACGTACTTTTCAATTGTAATTTCTCTCCAATTCCCTTTCAGTCAACAAGGGGGTGTAAAGATCAGATTGGGAATAGCATAATATTTTAGGCTGAAATAATTGGAAACATTTTTAAACATCATTCATTTTCCAAACTTTGAAACCTATAATCTTGATTTGCTTGATTTACTTTGTGTTATTTTAGCATAAGCATGTTCTATTGTGTAGTTAATGCTTTGGTACCTTATTTAATATCTAGACCTAGCAGGATTTGACAACCGTTGGCACTCCAGATGTTCTGGACTACATATCCCATGATGCTTGGCAGGAATTATGGTTGCAAGAGCATTAAAGCAGAAGTAGTCAAAAAAACATCTGGAGTGTCCCAGATTGCCAACCCCTGTCCTCGTGCATTCATTGACAGATTTTAACTGTTCGGTTACCTGGTCCTGTTAATGTTTTAATGTGAGAAATTAGAAATTAGAAAATAAAATGAATTGTAATAGTACGTCCAAAGCAGTCAGAATGGAAAAGCAGAAGATATTTTTTTCCAACTTAAGAATTTTGGCCTGATGTTCACCATAATTGGTTTTTAGTAAACACTGCAGATGTTTATACATTAAATACCAGTTTGAAGTGAATTGTATACCAAATTTCAAAATTTTCCACAAATCAGTCTTTAACAAATAAACCCTTTATATTGGGTTCTTTATCCATTTAATAATAATGTGTAATATTTAAACGTTTATATACCATATGTTAATAATACATAGTTATTTCCAGGCAAGATGTCTGAAATTTATATTTGAAACCAATATTGAAGTAAGACTATTTCATAAAAGGTTTTTTTGATATCTTCAAATCTGCATCACTCTCATTGGGAAAAAGGTTAGTGACTTCAGGAACTCAGTGTACATTTAATTGAACAAGGCTTGATGATGTCATCCAATTTATGTACATATCCTTTGGCTAAAGCTTAATGACATAATCCAAATTGTGTTTGTAAAATATACGTAATAATTGTCTTCTTAATTAGTACTAAGAGTACATTACATTTTATGAGTAGGCATAAGAGGAGGACTTTGTCATCCATACATTTATAAGTGGAATATACAGATAAAGTACACAATCTTATGACAAAGATTATTTGTGAGATTAATGGAGATATGTGTCCTTGTAGTTTATGTACAAGTTACTTATCTGGAATTCTTCTGCATATCAGAATATATGTTCTTTTTCACTTTTTTTGCGGCGTGTGAAGCTTCCATATCCCTCGCTTACTGGTTCATCTCTTGGGACAGGATGTTTTGGAAGATGAAAGGAGAGCTAATCTCAGACCTCAATTACTTCCATACTTTTCCTTCTTTATGACCAGAATCCCTTTTAGGAAAGGGGGCAGAGGGCTTAGCATTCTCCCTCCTTTTGGGTGGATTCCTTTCTGTGCCATCTGTTTTGAAGTAAAATATAATGTGATCAAACTATAACATTTTAAGCAAATTCAGCTGACGGAGTCCTACAGAGTGGAGGTGAGAGCTTGCGAAGTTGAAGTAAATACCTCACAGACTTCTCAAAGCAATTTAATGGATCTCACAAAATCCCAGTACCTAAGTGAACCCTTCAGTCGTTATTATTTGCAATATCTCAATAATACATTGCAGAAGAAATGGTTCTCCTCACTTTGAAACAAGATATGGTTATTCTACCACTTGGCGACACAAAAAAAACCCCAACAACTTTCCTCTGTCTTTTCTGCAAATGGCAGTATCAAATGGCAGTATCAATTTCCATCTTATTAAATGCATTAATATATAGTCAGGGCCATTTTTTCCGATGACTTACCTGGGCAATCGCACATAACACGATGACAAGAGGATGTCACCCGAGGTACTGACTGATCACTTTCCCACGACATGGAAATCAGTTGCATAAAGCTCAGCAATCATTTGTAGGAGACAGGCAGTTATTTTAGTATGGCTAAATAACGTCCGGCAGTTCTAGGTCCACTGGGACAGTCTGGCTTCTAGGATGTGTTTTGTGGACACATTTCTTGGGGCTCGGAGGTGGTGCTGGGGCAACACAGCCCAAGCACATCATTGCATTCATTGTGGATGTGCATGCTAGCGGCTCCCTGGTATTGTTGTTTCTCAGTTCAGTACCCTATATGCCAGACTGGCACTAACAGGGTTATACACTAAAGAGAGAATTTTGAGGCATTCAGAGCTAATTAAAAGTGGCACACAGTGGCGTACACACAATTCATGGGGTCCCGGTGCAAAACTGATCCATGGGGACCCCTACCTTTTAGGTGCAGGAGGGTGATTTTCCCTGGGGTCCAGTGGTGACTCAGGTTGATGGAAGTCAGAGTTCCCACCCGCGTGGGCTCTGTGTGATTGCTGGGAGGAGTGAAGAGAAGTCACTTCCTCCCAGCATGTGATGTCATCACAGGGGGCCCGGTCGTGCTGTTAAAGCGCCCAGTGCTGACCAGGCCCCCTGAAAATCCATCTCTATCGGGTAGCCGTAACATCATGTGCCACCCAATGGACCCCTTCACTAAAATTCCTACCCAGTCAAAAGATATTCTGAGACAAAGTAGGGACTGACACTTCTTGGCACTATGCAGAGCTACTACCGTCAATAAGTGTCAAGCAGCCAGCCGTAAGCAGAGAAATTAGATTTATCTATGGAGGATCCTACTGTCTCGCATAACCTTCCATATATTATTATTATTGCGATTTATATAGCACCAACAGATTCCGTAGCGCTTTACAATATTATTAGAGGGAATAGAAGTCAAATTAGGTGGGAGTGGAGCAGAGCTGGAGCAGAGAGAGTAGAGTGCTGCCCTTTAGGGAAGAGCAAGAGGCAGGTATGTGAGGTAGAGGTTAGTCTGGGAGGCCATAGGATTTCCTAAAGAAATGAGTTTTAAGGCACTTCTTAAATGATTGAAGACTAGGGGAGAGTCTGATGGCGGTAGGCAGGCTATTCCGTAGGACGGGAGCCGTCCGTGAAAAGTCCTGCAAGCGCGACTTGGCCGTACAGGTACGAGCAGCGGACAGAAGAAGGTCACAGGCACAGCGGAGAGATCGAGAAGCGGCATACCTATGGATCTGTGAGGAGATATAAGAGGGGCTAAGATTATTCAGTGCTTTATAGGTATGGGTTAGCACTTTGAATTGACTCCTTTAGGATACAGGAAGCCAATGTAAGGACTGACAGAGGGGTGAGGTGTGAGAGGACCGACTAGAGAGGAAAATCAGTCTGGCGGCAGCATTCATTACAGACTGTAGCGGGGCAATATGGCTATTGAGAAGACCAATTAGGTGAGAGTTACAATAGTCCATGCAAGAGATTACTAGAGCATGGACAAGCTCTTTAGTAGCATCTTGTGTAAGAAAGGGGTGGATGCAGGCGATGTTTTTGAGGTGGAATTGGCATGATTTGACAACAGACCGGATGTGAGGCTCAAAGATAAGGCCAGAGTCAAAAGTAACACCAAGACAACGTGCTTGTAAGGATGGGCTGATATGGGTTCTGTACTCTCACACACTCTCGCACACTCCAAAGCACCAGGAGCAGAAGAGGAATGGCCACCCCCTCCTCCATGTACTGCTCTGCTATCATAAGTTGTATCTGTTACTGTATATTAGTGTAGCTGTTAAATTTGGATGGCGTCACCTATGTTACTCCACTGAATGCATATTTAATGTAATATTAGATGATGATAATAATAAATAGAGGTGTATAGGTTTATTTATGTTTATTTTAGGGTGGGCACTTCTGTTTGCAGTTCATCTCCAGACGAGCATATGGACATATTGAACCTTTAAAAAAAAAACAGAATTATTATGTTAGAATATTACATAAAAAGTAAGCTATGCAAAATAGCAGCATTGTCTCTTCAAACTGAACATAGCTCGAGCACGGCTAGATTTGGCAGCGTGCGCTGTAACAGGCTTCTAAAAGACTGTTGTTTGATGGAGCTGCAGGAGCAGTTGGACGAGTATGAGATCTAACAGAGGTTAAATCAAAGAAAAACCGACAAAGTGATAATTCTGGATGTTTCAAAACATTTAGAAACCATGGGTGCTTGACTTTATAAACTCAACTCAGTGTCTTCTCCCTGAGTTAGGTTTCTTCATTCATGTTTGTTTGTTTTTTCTTTTTTTTCTTTTTATGTGGAGGAGAAGTAACGAGTTGCTGCTCTTATCAATATAGCATGCAGAGATACTGAATTGACATCAGGTTACACAGCCATAAAAATTATACCAACAGTCTTGATTTTTTTTTTTTTTTTTTTGCAGAAATGCAAAACTTTTTTAAAGGGGTTCTATCACTTTTCTGGAAATTACACAATTGAATATTATTATTATTATTATTATACTTATATAGTGCCAACAAATTCCATAACTTTTTACAATGGGATACACAATATAACACTTACTGAAAATAACTTATAACTAATACTAGCCTTTTGGTCATGTGATGCTCCATTTTCTTTATAGGTTTACTCCAAGTGCCATAATCTCTTTTCAGTGATTCGATAATCTATCCTTTACAAAGAGATTCCCGGTATATAATTTATTTGATTGCTACGGGTTTTGTTTTTGTGTTAGCGTCTCGATAAGAGTAAGGCTATCAAGCCTGGCAGACCGTTATACATTAAATCAAAGCAGCTGATAGTAATAACAGACTACTGAGATCAAAGTATATTTTCAGTGTTCAGGATAGGTTTGAAAGAAAGGACAATCATTAAAAAGTGAAAACAGTCTGTCTCCGACATGGTTTGATTTTTATTTGCTTTAATAGATTCCCTTTAGCCACTAGAATGCTAAGTCCGTGTATTTTGTACAGAACTGATCGTATTTAAGGAAGCATCAGCAGGACGCAGCTTTTCTTTAGAATCATGACTGTTTGTGTTTAAAAGGGAATTTTCATTTCTAAACTGGATTTGGGATCCTACATCTTTATAAGTGTAGCTCTTTTGTGTCTTTGTACAATGTGGAAGAGGAGTAACCGACACAATGCTTCTGTTCTCCTCCTTGTTTGCATTGTGTGCCCTGCCTGTGCCTGGACTGAAATGGTTTGTGATGTAATTCGCTAAATCTTTACTATACATTTTAAAATTAAATGGAGCTTCACATGAAAACAAAACGTTATAGGTGATTTCCAATGTTTTATTTGACAATGTAATTTCCAGAGAAGTGACAGTGCATTTAATTGTAACTCTGTTGAGAATGTCTGTATGGCATAATGTAGTGAAAATCTGTGTTTTCTAACAAAAGAAATTGAGAGAATAACTGTTACTATTGCTAGAATTCTTACAATCAAACGAATATGAACAAACAAGTGCATAAGAGATGCAAATTTGGCATAAGACATATGGGGGGCATAAAGACGTGGGGTGTGCCATTAGACACAGGGGGCTTAAGAGATAAAAAAGGTGAAAGAGACACAAGGGGGTAAAAGTTACATGGGGTAGATAGGAGCCACAGTAAACAGATTTGAGACATTTACGGGGACAAAAGACACACCAGAAAGGGGATAGGAGACAATTTGTACGGTGCCAACATACAGTTTCGCCCTGGGTGCCAAGTAGCTTGAGCATGTCTCTGGGACTCAGTAAATACTGTAAAAGCATTATTGGGGACACTTTATTCACTGACCTGCTTTGTAATACAATATAACAGTATATCTGACAGGATGGGAGGGGGGGATTTGCAAAACACGTATTGTATTGTTTATGCATAATTGTGGAAAGACAAATATATATGTTGGTTTTTCCAAACTATAATATTTAAGCATAAAAACTAAATTGCTACTGTAAATCTATGCATACTTTTAATAATTTAACCAATGGTTCTCAAAAGCAGCCATGGTGGTTACATTTAACTACCTACCTGCTTATATATTGTCCTCTCTATTACCATGTATTGTTCACACATCAAAAATAGATCTGAACAATACATGTGTGAACAACATAGAACAACATTTTACAGTGTTGTTCTAAAGGGTTAATCTGGAGTAATTAATACTTGGGAGGCATGGCACATACGTGTCAGTCACCGCGCGGATCACAATATTGCCTTCCACTTTGTATTGGGGCACAGAGCAGTCAAGAAGAGCACCCCTTCAGCTGTCTCTTTAAATCATCAGTTTTATAAAGTGAGATGTTAATATTGCTAGCTTTTCATAATTTTGAGTGTTGTTTTTAAAAAAAATTTTTTATTTAATTGCATAATTTAGTTCTATTGGTCAAAAACCATAACAAATGTCAGCTGAGAGTTGACAGGAGTATTGTCTGTCTTATAGTGCCTGTCCCCGTAACTAACCAGTGTGCACTAATGATGGTCTATAGCATTATGATTTCCAGAATCAGGGAACACACTGCCACTAAGAGGAAAAGCAAAGCAAAACACACAATAAAAGAGTTACTTGGGTGCTTTTATTATCCATAGCTACCTTACAGTTTGTTGAAAATGTATACTTTTGTTAGTCACCTGAGTGCGTTGTCTGCTTTAAACTATTGTTATAAGTAATAGTAATAGTATTTATATAGTGCCAAGATATTTCGCAGAGCAGTACAATTATAGAAAGGGGATATTAGAGTTGAATAAGGCCTGGTACAAACAAACATGCAATCTATGAAGGGGATTATGTTTCTGCCTAGCTCTCTCGCTTTCAGTGCTGTAGCTCAGAGCGGTAACAAAAGTTCTAAAATAAGCAACAACAATATATATATAAGCAACCAGGGGCTGATTGGGACAGGGGAGCATTGGAAGAAGGGTCAAGGGCATAAGACCCAGTTGTAATTCCCCCGCTGTATGTCCAATCCCTCCGCCTACAGCCCCTATACCACCCACTATAGCCCTTACCCCAGCTACAGCCACTAACCGTTCCACAATTACCCCTATCCACAAACCATAGCCTATTACAGCCACTATTCCCCTCCCTGCAGTCCTAATCCTCCTATTACAACCCATGTTTCCCCACTACATTGTCTATAATCCCACTAATTTGGAGCCACTACCTCCAACTAAAGCCTCTTTCCCCCCACTACAGCCGCAAATGCAACAACAAGAAGCCACCTGGGACACGCAACTCTACTAGCAGCATTCCCACAAACGTACAACACCACAAGCAACCTCCACACATACACACACACATACACACACCCTCTCTGAAGACTGCCACACTTATCATCCAACCACCCACCTAGTCACATTCACCAATCAATCAGCGCTACGGAATCTGTTGGCGCTATATAAATGGCAGTAATAATAATAATATACCTAAAGCTAGTCGTATAAATACATGCAACTGAATACACCAAACTTTGTGTATATATATATATATATATATATATATAAATAAAACCAAATATATATATATACACACTTGAAAAAGGCCCGAACCAGTCAAAACATCAATCTTTATGCACAGTTGATTTGGAATTGCTTCATTCAATAATAAAACACAGTTGAAAAACTTGGAAAACCTGTGAGTGGGTTGTAGCACCTAGGCATTGTTTTACTTTCTTGTCCATTAATGGTGGAGTGCCAAGCTAATTCAGTAGCTTTATATATATATATATATCGGAGGGTGAATTGAGGATGCTGGCTTTGGGGCAGCAAGTAGGGCAAATCTGGCCCTGATGGACACACTGCTGCTTTTTCCTGTTCATGGTCGGACTGCTACGACCATATACCTCAGATACTCTCCCCTGCTAACCCAGGGCCAGGATGGGGCTTGGAGCTGGCAGATAGCTGAATTTGGTCGTTTTAGGAGTAAAAGGGACGGATTTGCCATAGGGCAACCAAGGTTAAAGTCTCAGGACAGCAGGCAGGATAGGGGCGGCACGGCCAGTGGGGAGATCAGATTTCTTTTTTTAAATGTGAGGCCTTGTTGCTGCACCATGGGCTTTTGAGTTGTACTTGTCCCCTGGGCATACCTTTGCCAAACAGCCACTGCACACAACAATAAAACATTAAAAAGAACACTGTATTAGATTCATTGAAAGAGGACACACATTGGGCCTTCCCTATAGAAAAGCATTGACTCAATGCTTTTCTATGGGCTTCTATTTGATCTTAGATGTCCTCATGCAAAGCATGAGGACATCCAGCATCATTTCACCATGAAACAACAGTAAGTGTCTCTAATGGTTGTCTGGTAGACATTGTAAACATTGCAGGGTGATGGGAACAGGGATACTGCACCCAAACTACTTCAATGAGATGAAGAGGTCTGGATGCCTATAGTGCCCCTTTAAATCTGTATTCACCACATATTAGTGTGAGTTAATTGTTGTGGAGCTCCGTGATGTGTTCATATATCCCAACATTATAAGTTCTTTCTGTTATAAATATTCTGGTATAAACAATGTCAGTCTGTTTAAATAGAAAAATATGTCCAGTCTAAGCAGAAATGTTGTGCAACACAAATGAACAAATGTTTTTGCATTTTTCTTTTTAGGTCAAGTCCCAAAGTGACAAGAAACATATTACTCTATGATTCTATGATTATCCTTGATTTTCATCACTAATTCCAATTACAAGATAAATAATACGAGCGTGCATGACATTACAGTATGTATGCTTGATGGTTGAGTTGCAGGTTTTGGCATATGATCATTCTGAACCTTGATATAACTATTCTCAAAAAAGTTAACTACCACTTTTGTAATATGACTTTCTAAATGCATCTGCAATTAAAAGCCACCCAAGAATATATATATTTCAAAATTACAAATGCCCTGCTGTTAGGTGACTTCTGATTTAAATGTTAATCACAGTGAAGTTAGGAGACCAACACATTATTAAATTTGTTGTGATTAACATTTACGTTTGTTTAGTGTTTTTGTTTTTAGTGTTCTTGCACATCTCATTTACATGAGAAGCAGAGAGGAACTTAATTGAGATCTATTTCCCCATAAATGTGTCAGCTTGTGTGGGAATTATTCAGGCTGTTTGTTGTAGCATTGAAAGTAATCTTTGCGTAGTGCGTGAATTAGTGCTTACGACTGATGAGTGACATGCAGATTTCTACATTGCCCTCTGCCAGTATGCCACGCTTGTTTAATGCCACTCTTGTTGGCTACAGATATTAGCGGTGCAGACACTGTTAATAATCTGCTGTTTTTAAATAACACTGACAATCTTTGTATGAAGTTGGAATGAGAGAGATAGAGGGGCATATGCATGGAACAATTTTCCCTTGCCAGGGCTTAATTTCTACTTGCATGCAGTTATATTCCAAAATCATAATCTTATTGTAATGGGCATTTCAGGTTTCAAATACTATTTTACACACTGTTTGTGATTACAGGAAACTGATCATTTCCAGTGTGATTAACAGTGTGATTTGCTATACTTCCATCTAAATTACTGCCCTCCGTCACTCAATGACACTCTCAGCCTCATCTAACAAAGTGACTGCCATCACACCACTGGAGCTATCAAGCTGTGTGTGAATAAGAAAGCGAGTGAACGTGTCTTTCAGACAGCCTGTGTTTGCGTGTTTCTCAGTGTTTGAGTTTGGTGAGAGTCACATTCTTCAGCAGATGGGGTATTAGTTATTAGTCTCTGTCACTCCATCTGCTTTGGAGCAAAAAATATTTGTTTAAGATGTTTTA